TAATGTGAAAGACACTACACCAAATGTAAAGATTATTTATTATTATTATTTTCCCTCCCTCACATATTTATCCATTTTCCTCTGAAATACATTGATGAGTTTTCCTTTAACCATAGCTTTTGACATTGATTTCCAAATTCTCACCACCCTCTGTGTGACAAAGTTCCTCCTACATTCCTCCTTTTTAGATCTGCTACTGGCTTTGATTAATTCCCTCTCATTTTGGACTCACCAACAGGTGGAAAACAACCTATCAACATCCATTTTATCCATCCTTTCATAATCTTAAACATCTTTATAAGATCTCTTCTCAGTCATCTTTACTCTAGAGAATAATGTCTCCAAATATGTTTTATCAATTCAATGACGACTCAAGAGAAAGATCACATCTAAATCTGTAAAGTGCCTTTTGATCTCTGATAAAGAGAGCTTCAATCAGTTATTGTCTCTGATTCAAGGTTTTGCTCCAGCCAGAATAAATAAAACTAATGAATTTATGTAGAGAAAAATCCCCGAGATAAAAAAAACATAGCTGTTTGTAAAATATTGCTGCGTAAATATTCGCTGTTACTTTACCCTATAAAATACAGTCACTGTACTTTCTACTAAATTCTGTTAAAACCCTAGGAAGTTCTTTGAGATGTCCTCCTAACATGAAAAACACCATATGAAATGTAAGGATTATTACTATATATTATAATTATTTATTATATAATTATGTGCTGTTTGATGTGGATCAGTAGTTTTATGCTCAGAAGTTTATTCCTCCACTTAACCCCAAAAAAGATAGTATAGGAATCTTTTGTGGGTATTTTTGAGAATCATCTTGCACTGACACACTTTTATTTAATCATCTTGGAATTTGAAAAAAAAAGCACAAAAAAAAATTAATTTTTAGAACTTTTGTCTGATTTTGAGATGCTTCAGGCAATGTCACTGTGAGTGTCATTCAAACCATGCTGGTGTATTCAGCCAAAATTAACAAATAATTAAATTTAAACTAAAAAAAAGACTAATGATCCCTATAAATAAACTACCCACAGAGACATTTTGTTCAGGAAACATAAATCACTGTTGTCACATCTAATGCAGATCAATGGTTTGGACAGGTCAGGGCACTGAGGGCAGATCAGAAGTACTGAGGATAGATCAGGACATTGTGTGGCATCAAAACAAAGAGGGACTAGAGAAAAATAAATTGTGCCTTTATCATCTCATAACAACTCAAAATATTTTACAGGTAATGTGCAAGCCATTTGCAGCAGTAAGTTGTCTAGAAAACAGTCACCTAGAAGTTTGATGGCCCGGAATCAGGCAGACATTCTCTTCTCTGCTCAGATATTATTATAGGATCATAAACATCCTTCTGAAGAGGCAAAATGGACCTCGGTTTAATATCTCATCCAAAACAACATCTCTGACAATTCAGTGCTTTTCCAGCACAGGAGTATTAAACTATCGCCCCAAGCTCAAGTCCTAACATGGGACATAAACTCACAAGCACAGGCAAGAATAATAATTGAACCAAGCTCACATTATGATGGAGAAATTCCATCTGGGTATGGACTTACACTAATAATATAAGCTTTCAGAGCATCTAGTATTTGAGAAATTTCACCTCAACTTGGAAGCCAGTTTTCTGTAAGTTTCTTATAAGATTGAATTTTGACAATTTGCCAAATTCTGGGCACTTTGAAATGCTAAGAAAATAGAGACAACCTTTACCCGGGTAAAGTATCTCCCCCTGTGCGTTGTAGATCACTGAAATTTGGCTGCATCTTGCACATAAGCAACACTGAAGATGCATTATTCTCCATAGTACCTGCCCCCTCCCAAATATTTTGAGGACAGATGAGGGATTGCTGAGAAATCTCACCAAACGTCACTCATTACGACCACCAACAACAACATGAGCTGCAGATTTCTGAACGATCTGCAGCTTGTAGAGGGAAGAGTTGGGAAGACTGTCAAGGAGGGAGTTAGTGTAGTTGAGCCAAGATGTAATGAATGACCATCAGGTTTCAAAGTTTGACATTCTTCACATGCTGACAAGGTGCACATTCACTTTAAAGCAAATCCTGTGTGAAGGGCTTCAGATGTCCTCTCACATCAAATGCAAGAATTATTAGTGTTTATGCGGACAGATACCATTCAGCTCCAGTAGAGCATGGTTCACCCTGCCCACAAACTACACAGGCAATCCATGTTACAGTATAGCCTGTGCAGCGCTTTGAGATGTCTCAATGATTTGATGAGGAGCTGTTTGTCTGATAACACTGTGGCTATTACAGAGATGTGACATAGAACTCACTTTGTCTGTAGTCTCTGCAGTTTGTAAGACACACATCAGAGGGACAACATGATCTTGTGCAATATATCCTGAACGGTTTTCACTTGTTTTTTTTAATATAAATCGAAAATGAATAATATATATACATAATACAGAACCAGAAAATATTTTTTTTTAATTCTTAAAGTGATTCAGAAACACAGGCAGGAAAAAATAATAATACTATCATCAGCCTAGAAAGGTACCCATGGCAAGAAGTGATCTAAAACATATACAAAAGGGGAAAGAGACACACAAAAGATCAACGAGGAAACATGGCATAAATGAGGATTAAAATATGAATGGTTACAGATAGGACGGGAAACGTACCGCCCATTGCACTGAAGATGCTGAGCTGTGAGACACACATTTATTTGCCTGGTGCAACTGGAGAAGTGTGAACGGTGCAGTTGTAACTGTGGGAGGAGGGAGAGGGAGGGGGAGAACACACGCAGTGGATAGGCTGATGGGGTAGAGATCCGCTGAACTTCCTGGAATAGAGACAAGAGGAGCACAGACTGGGAGTGACCCGCAATCCGAGGTGCGACTGGTGAGAAGAGTAAGTGATCATAGTTAGTCAGAAAGAGGGAGTTATGAACAGGGCATTGAGTGATTCAGACCAGAAAGACAGGGAATGTTAACCTAAACCCAGTGCAGGACTGGGAGCCAGTGACAGTGTGGGAGCAGTGACAGTGTGGAGCAGTGACAGTGTGAGAGCAGTGACAGTGTGAGAGCAGTGACAGTGTGAGAGCCAGTGACAGTGTGAGAGCAGTGACAGTGTGAGAGCAGTGACAGTGTGAGAGCAGTGACAGTGTGAGAGCAGTGACAGTGTGAGAGCAGTGACAGTGTGAGAGCAGTGACAGTGTGAGAGCAGTGACAGTGTGAGAGCAGTGACAGTGTGAGAGCAGTGACAGTGTGAGAGCAGTGACAGTGTGAGAGCCAGTGACAGTGTGAGAGCAGTGACAGTGTGAGAGCAGTGACAGTGTGAGAGCCAGTGACAGTGTGAGAGCAGTGACAGTGTGAGAGCCAGTGACAGTGTGAGAGCAGTGACAGTGTGAGAGCAGTGACAGTGTGAGAGCAGTGACAGTGTTGGAGAGCCAGTGACAGTGTGAGAGCCAGTGACAGTGTGAGAGCCAGTGACAGTGTGAGAGCCAGTGACAGTGTGAGAGCAGTGACAGTGTGAGAGCAGTGACAGTGTGAGAGCCAGTGACAGTGTGAGAGCCAGTGACAGTGTGGGAGCAGTGACAGTGTGAGAGCAGTGACAGTGTGAGAGCCAGTGACAGTGTGAGAGCAGTGACAGTGTGAGAGCAGTGACAGTGTGAGAGCAGTGACAGTGTGAGAGCCAGTGACAGTGTGAGAGCCAGTGACAGTGTGAGAGCCAGTGACAGTGTGAGAGCCAGTGACAGTGTGAGAGCAGTGACAGTGTGAGAGCAGTGACAGTGTGAGAGCCAGTGACAGTGTGAGAGCAGTGACAGTGTGAGAGCCAGTGACAGTGTGAGAGCCAGTGACAGTGTGGGAGCCAGTGACAGTGTGAGAGCAGTGACAGTGTGAGAGCAGTGACAGTGTGAGAGCAGTGACAGTGTGAGAGCAGTGACAGTGTGAGAGCCAGTGACAGTGTGAGAGCCAGTGACAGTGTGAGAGCAGTGACAGTGTGAGAGCAGTGACAGTGTGAGAGCCAGTGACAGTGTGAGAGCCAGTGACAGTGTGAGGGCCAGTGACAGTCTGGGAGCAGTGACAGTGTGGGAGCAGTGACAGTGTGAGAGCCAGTGACAGTGTGAGAGCCAGTGACAGTGTGAGAGCAGTGACAGTGTGAGAGCAGTGACAGTGTGAGAGCCAGTGACAGTGTGAGAGCAGTGACAGTCTGGGAGCAGTGACAGTGTGAGAGCCAGTGACAGTGTGAGAGCAGTGACAGTGTGAGAGCCAGTGACAGTGTGAGAGCAGTGACAGTGTGAGAGCCAGTGACAGTGTGAGAGCAGTGACAGTCTGGGAGCAGTGACAGTGTGGGAGCCAGTGACAGGGAGCCAGTGACAGTGTGAGAGCAGTGACAGTGTGAGAGCAGTGACAGTGTGAGAGCCAGTGACAGTGTGAGAGCCAGTGACAGTGTGAGAGCCAGTGACAGTCTGGGAGCAGTGACAGTGTGAGAGCCAGTGACAGTGTGAGAGCCAGTGACAGTGTGAGAGCCAGTGACAGTCTGGGAGCAGTGACAGTCTGGGAGCAGTGACAGTGTGAGAGCCAGTGACAGTGTGAGGCCAGTGACAGTGAGCCAGTGACAGTGTGAGAGCAGTGACAGTGTGAGAGCAGTGACAGTGTGAGAGCCAGTGACAGTGTGAGAGCAGTGACAGTGTGAGAGCAGTGACAGTGTGAGAGCCAGTGACAGTGTGAGAGCAGTGACAGTGTGAGAGCCAGTGACAGTGTGAGAGCCAGTGACAGTGTGAGAGCCAGTGACAGTGTGAGAGCCAGTGACAGTGTGAGAGCCAGTGACAGTGTGAGAGCAGTGACAGTGTGAGAGCAGTGACAGTGTGAGAGCCAGTGACAGTGTGGAGCAGTGACAGTGTGGAGCAGTGACAGTGTGAGGGCCAGTGACAGTGTGAGAGCAGTGACAGTGTGAGAGCAGTGACAGTGTGAGAGCAGTGACATCCTCAGTAGCGACAAAGCACCTCGATCATCGCTGAGAGACGGTTCCTCAACCCCAGGTAAAGCTCTCTCTGTATCCTGTAGCCATTTCCCTGTTCAAACTTTTCTAGGTTTAGGGTAACATTCCCTCTTTCTATCTCTGTGTCTCTGATTCACTTAATGTCCTGTGTATCACTCCCTCTTTCTGATTTCATGCTGTAAGCACCTGAACCTTGTGAATGATATACGATGCACACTCTGTATGTGGATGTTGAGGTCGATGGGCATCCAGGACCACACATCCATTCTGAATTTCTGCTGCCAAGGTCTGTTTGAGATCTGAGATTTTTTTCTCCCTCTGGTACAATATTGTGTTTGTAAAGAGCACAGCAGAAGCGACCGAATAATGTGCATTTTTTAAAACACATAAAAGTAAATAATGGACTAAAGTGTACGTTGGGGCATTCTTAACAGGAATGTGTGTGTGTGCGTTTAGATATCAGTTTCGTATCGATTTTAGTTTTTGAAACGATTCCTAACCTTGAGATCTTGCTGTGTGGGTGAATCTCTGAGCCAGGAAGATGTACAGGGTGTTTGGGGTTAGAGAGGAGAGAGTTGGTGTGTGTGTTTAAGGATGAATTCATGATAACCTCTGTTTTCTTTCCCAATTTAATCCTGCCACTTGGTATTACATATTCAGGCAAACTACTGATGGCTTTCTTACACACTCTTCTGTCCTCACTTTGAGTACCTCAAGTCAGCTTCATGTGGTGGGTTACTGAGATGAAGCTGTCAGGAGCTCAAATAGTGGCTGCTTGTTTTATTTATTCCTGCCTCAACTATACTTTTAAGATTGTAATATATTTAAAACAAGCCACTCGGAGTCTTCGAATGGTGAATTTAAACTTTTGCTATCATATCTTTTCTTTACCTGAGTAGAGATTTTAATTTCCAACTATGAATAAGACAAAAAGGTCACTATGCTGTCATTAGAAAGTTGCATCGATGCCCTCAACATTATTGGGTTAGGTTAAGGAGTGTCACACTGCTAATACAGACCTCTGCTTTTTACACCTGACCTGTCTTTTATCTCTTTCCTTGTATAACACAATACTAGCTATAATGTGAGTTATATTAAAAGGAATACAATCCTTACATTTGATATAGTGCCTTTGATGTCGAGAGCGCTTCAAAAGGTATACTGTAAAGTGTAGTGACTGTATATTAACTAAGAAAACCAAACATATACCATTGTACAGCAGCATTTATATAGCACCCTTCACATAAGATAATGCCTCCGGAGCGCTTCACAAAAATGGGATCAGATGTTAAGCAAGAGAGAGGAGAGGGGAGGAAGGGTAGAGCCATGATCAAAGAGGAAGGTTTTTAGACAGGATTTAAAGTCAGATAGGGAAGGAGTGAGACGGACATGCGGAAGGAGAAAATTTAAAAGGTTAGGGGTGCTATAAAGCAATATTTTTTATGCACCCTGACAAAACTGCAGCACTCTGCACCATTTGTACATTTTATCTCCACTCAGACCATGATGTTTGACAGCCTAAGAACAGTGCATTTCCCAGTTTAATTGTCGTATTTGCAATATTGAACAGTTTTTCAGCTAACAACGTTCACAAACTGTGACCCAACACAAGTATTGCTTGTCAGAAATGGCAACTGATGGTTTCAGTGGATGAAATGTGTGTTCCATTGGAATGTTTTGCCCACAAATATGCAGTCAATTCACTTTACAACATATTCTGTGAAGCGCTTTGAGACGTCTAGAAGACATGAAAAGTGCTATATCAAATGCAATGATTATTATTATATATTTCTGCAGACACTAAATTTTGTTCTGAATATTATTTTGGACCATATTACATGATAACATTGTGTGAAGGAACTGCAAGGAAACACATAAAAAATATGTTTATAACAATGGTTGAATGGCCTCCTAACATATATCTGAACACCTCATGGGTAAGTGAGACTGTCATATATCACAACCAAGTAGTTCCTTTCTTGTCAGGTGACCAAGAGAGTAAGGTTCCACATGCCTTGGAGTGGGTCAGAGGAGATTTACCAGAATGGTACCAGGGATGATAGACTTTAGTTATGTGGAGAGACTAGATAAACTGGGATTGTTCTTTTGGAGCAGAGAAGGTTAAGGGAAGATTTAATAGAGGTGTTCAAAATTGTGAGGGGTTTTGCTGGAGTAGATAGGGAGAAACAGTTTCTTCTGGCAGGTGGGTCAGTAACCAGGCACATAGATTTAAGATAACTGGCAAAGAACCAGAGGGGAGACGAGAAATTATTTTATATAGAGTTGCTATGGTCTGGAATGCACTGCCTGAAAGGGTGGTGGAAACAGATTCAATAACAACATTCAAAAGGGAATTAGATAGGCACTTGAAAGGGAAAAAAATTCCAAGGATGTGGGGAGAGAGATGTGTTGGACTGATTGGGTAGCTCTTCCAAAGATCCGGCACAGGCATGATGGGCCGAATAGCCTCCTTCTGTGCTGTAATATTCTATGATTCGATGATTGATTAGGGCAGGTGAAGGGAGGATATCATCTCTCATGCAAGGGACATTTAACACAATGCAACATTTTTTGGGAGAAATATTTTATATTAAACTATATTGTGGAGTCCTGTATCTCAGTGGTTAGAGCACTCGCTTTGCAAGCGAGAGACCTGAGTTCAATTCCAGGCAGGGCGAAACCTTGGGCAAGTTTCCTTGCCACACACCTAATAATAATCCCTCCAAAACAAAAAACAATAATAAATTGGTCATTTTCAATCTACGACTGTTTGTGGGATACTGCTGTGCGCAATTGGCTGCCAGGTTCGCCCACAAGTATACAGTCAATTCACTTACAGTATATTCTGTGAAGCACTTTGAGACGTCTAGAAGACGTGAAAAACGCTATATCAAATGCAAGGATTATTATTATTATTATTATTATTATCTCTCCCACCTAACCAATATATTGGTGTCACATGTCAGCCTGGCTCAGTTCTTATCGCTGAATCAGAAGGTTGTAGGGTCAAGCACCACATCAGTACTTTGAGTTTACAGTCTAGGCTGACATTCCAGTGTAGTGCTGGGGCAACACAACAGTGTTGGAGGTGCCATCCTTTAGATAACACTTTAAACCGAGCAAACACATCTACTTGTTTAGGTGGACTTTGAATATCCTATGACACTACTTGGAAAGAGAAGGGAGTTTCTCCCGGTGTCCTGAATAACAATTATATAAGAACATAAGAAATGCTAGATGAAAAAAGACCAAGGTCCATCTAGTTTGTCTTCCATCTTCCTGATAGTCACATGCACATATGTCCCAAACTATCTACACACACACACACACTATATCCCACAATGCTATTTCCTAAAAGAAAACTATCTAATCTGTGTTTGAAAGAATCAACACTTCCTGCTTCAACCGTCTCCCTCGGGAGTCTGTTCCACAGGTTCACTATTCGCTCACTGAAATAATGTTCACTTAGATTCTTTCTGAATTTACCCCCTTCAATAGCAGGCCATGTCCTCTGGTTCTACTATTCTGGACAAGTTGAAACAGCCTGTCATGACCTATACTGTCTTGCCCCTTTAGAATCTTAAAGACATCATGTCACCGCTCAATATTCTCTTTTCCAATGTGAACATGCCCAATTTACTTAGTCGTTCCTCATAGTCCAGTTCTTCCATTCCCTCAATCATTTGGGTTGCTCTCCTCTTATCTTCTCGATTTCTCCAAAATCCTTTTTGTACTGTGGCAACCAGAACTGTACATAGGACTCTAAGTGCGATCTCATCAATGATTTATGCAGTGGCAGGATTACCCCAATATTTCAGCTTGCCATTGATCTTTTGATGCATCCCAACTCTTTGCTCACTTAAAGCAAATAAATCCCCAGATAAACCTGGTTACTCATACATTGTTGTTTGAGGAACATTGCTGTGTGTAAATTGGCTGCTGCAATCCCCTATAACTACAGTAACTACACTTTACAGTAAATCTACTGAAGCGCTTTGAGATGTTTTGATGACATGATAAGGCATTATATCAAATACAAGTAATATTATTATTATTCACTCTAAAAATAACAAGCCTGATTTGTAAGCATGTGACTCACCTTTCAGTTTGATTGTATATTGAAATTCAGTCAACTTATTCCGAAGCCTGGATCTGGCTTCATTTACAGGGTGACCAAAATGTCGTGATACCATTATAATGTCTAATAACTCTTAAAGAAGTGATGATTTTTTGAAAATAATATGGTAGCTGAAAAAAGACTTTTTGGAGTTGCTGAACTGCCCTGCATGCCGGTATCCTTTCATGATCCAAAACTTGTTAAGCACGTTTCCATCTTGGACATTTGTTTATATATCAAGATATAAAAAGTTGTGACATCTTTTGCCCACTTATTCCAAAACAATTGATATTGGATTGGTTCCTCTTAGAAGGTTGAAGACCAATTCCCACTTTATCTTGCAATCGGTATCAATTTAATAGTTTAGATAAGCGAAGGGTTCTGGATGACCAATAGCCATGTAATCTTTCAGTGCCTTGAGATATCCTCCCGACATAAAAGGGACTATATGAATGCAATTTCTTGTTGTTAGATTCTGGTATTTATCCACTTCATTGTGCAACTTCCACTGTTCACTTCTGATTGTTTAAGCAGGTAACATGGGATGAATCTAAGTAGCAATATATACTCTGCCTCTATTGCTGTTCAGTGTAACATTAACATGCTAAGTATCCTTGACACTTTCAGATAGGCTTTATAATAATATTTCCTTGCCAGTAAACTCTTCCAAGTGTAAAGACCGTCCATACATGGTATGTTTTTCATATTGTTTCTTACGATGTATAATAAATTAATGTCAAATCTACATACTGTACATTAGACTCAGGGCTGACACTCTAATGCAATGCTGGGGGAGTGCTGCATTGTCAGAAGTATATTCTTCCAATCAGACGCTGAACCAAAGTCCCGCCTGCCTGTTCAGGTGAATGTTAAAGGTCCCTATGACATTAATTGAAAAGAGAAGGAAAATTCTCTTGGTGTCC